ACAAGGCTTTATGCTCCCTCTGAATTTCATTTCGCGATTTTCCGGATTCAAACGCATTCACTATTTAAAGCTTATCACTTAATGACAGTACTTTAATTTTCCGTTTTGGCATGATGCAGAACAGAACGTTCCTTTGCCATTGATTAACGTTAAACTGAGTTGAGTAAGTCCGACAAACAGGACGGTACACAGGCACACGTGTCCATTCGAAAAGAATGCGATAAAATAACATCATTTAGTTCCGGGAAATAGAATAGGTTCAATATTGACGAGAAAACATTACAAAAACAATGGAAGGAAGTTCCACAAAAGTTAAGAATGAGTCATAAAATAGCAGATGTTAAATTTGTAATTTGTTTTGTCATTTGTTCCTCCTAAATAATATAAATAAATAAAGCTCGACTGTCGCTTATAGAGGTTTAGATAAGTAGCAGTCTCACTTACAGAGGTCCATGAGAGAAAAAGTACTCTCTCTTACAGAGGTTTCTGTTTCTCACTTATAGAGTTTTCTCACTTATCCAGTTCTCACTTACCCAGGTTTGACTGTATTTGTAATATATATATGTTGGCTCACGTCAGGGATGGCTGAGCGGTAGGTTCCGTCATCGCTCGTATTCGATTGAACTCAGTTTAGTCAATAAAACTTTTCAATAATAATTATTGAAACTCAACACACACAACTTTCACAATGACAGGGTAAACCGACAGTTTCGTTGCACATACCGACAGACCGACTGACTGACTGTCAGAGACTCACTGCTGAGACGGACGGAATTACTGTCTGACACGGAATGCTACGACTCTGTCCACGTACCGCCATTTTATACTGTGGCGTTACGGAGTCTACCCTTCATTTTGTGATATTTATCAAAACAACATTTCATCATTTAAAATAATAATCAAAACCACCGTCTTAATATTACTAAAAGTCGTTATCCACGACAACTAAAAGTCGTTATCCACGACATATATATGTATATAATTAAACATATAAAAGTATGTTTATCAGTCTCTGGTACCCATAACACAGCGAATCCTAAATTGGGGCCGAATGACCATGCGTGATTTGTTCCCAGTTCCTTTAGTAGTTACTGCAGCTGATAGACACTGCTTTGCACCAACCCTGAGACAATTGAGACCCGAGATAAAATTCTCAAATCTATTAAGTGGCTACAACCATAAGCAGATTAATGATCCGCTTTAATGCTACCGAACGACATTGATCGTTCAAGTGTAGATAGAGCAGCTGTAAAGAGGGCAACTTTATGTTTGTGCGGATAACATGCAAATTTATTTGACGGTAAATGTAAACAGGGATGCTTAAAGAAGCACCTATAAAGCGACGCGTTGACAGAAGTTAGTGAATACTTTGTTGTCCACATCGTTCGAAAGTTTCAGGCTGCAAGTGTGTATGGATCCTCAAACGGTCATTTTTCGTGGATAAATGAGATAGCACACTCTTATGCTCTTGCTCTTGCACTCTATACACTTGCTATATTGCAGACGAAACTACCGGGCGAAATATCCGGGGCTTCCGAAATCTCCTCTAGAAGTTGTCGGTAATTTTAAGAGGCCGTTCGATCCCCTGAATGAGATGGAGTGGCAAGAGTGAAAATTCCCACCACTCTCAAAATAAGCTTTTGGTCCAGGACAAAATAAATCCCAAGTTATTAAATATTAAGAACCTCCATATCTTTACATAGCCATTATAAACTATTTCATTACGTAATCTACAGCTGATAATTGAAAATATCATAGAGCAATATTAATCTTCAACGTCGACTTTGTGAAAAGAGAGACTGAAATCGAGAATCGTAGACTCAAGTCCGAATCTAATTAGAATTTCCAAACTATAAGCTGACGTGCTACTTCAATATGTCACGGCTTGGAATGCAGAGGAATTTCAGAAACGAAATGCAATTTAACGCGCTAGGAAGTCCCGACCCTATCGAAAAGTTGGTATTGAATTAGAGTCCGAGGAATCGACCCGACGTTCTAGAGTTCTATTATCACTTAATTACTAAAATGTTAAGCCGAACAGTTTTGCGGAACAGCTAAAATGAATATTTCCTCAGGTACTTGTTTACATTTTATCCTAGTTACCGATGTATTTAATGTAGAATAATGTGTTTTTTTGTATAGGTGTGCGGCAATAATCCTGAAAGAATTTAATGTTATTATTTACGGTTGTCAGCTCGTTATTATTGCAGTTAAATTTGCTAGTACGGGTTGATATTTGAATTAGAGTACTCTTAAGTACTAGTATATTGGAATGCTTGACGCGCAACAAATGTACGCTCTAGTTCGAAACGTAGGACGATCGTTCGAGTACTGAGCTGTGACTTTTGTATATCTGAGAAAAAAATAATCTTAGTCAATGGTTTAAATTTCTCAGTGCTCAGGACAAGAATCTTCTAAAATCAGAAATGCGTGATGGGTTCGCAGCTGAAACTACTTTAAATGAAGTATTCAGTGGGAGCTCGCTACATTCTCACGGATCGTTTGGAGCCTCTGGGTCTGCGGAGAGACTTCGGTTCCCTCTGTATTTTGTATGTTCCATGGGGAGTACTCTGAGGAATTGTTTGACATGATCCCTCATCTCCTTTTTATCATCGCACCTCCCGCTATCGGAGCAGAGTTCATCCATATTATCTGGAACCGCTGCGTTCATCGACTTTGCATTTCCAGAGGTCTTTTTTGCCGCGTACCATCCGGCTATCCACTCCCCTCCACGGTGTTTCCCGAGCGCTATGTCATGTCCTTCTTCAAACGAGGCTTGTGGAGAGTATTAAGCGGTAGGCAGCAGCTTAGCTCTGCCCCTGGCATTATTGAAGTCCATGGGTGACGATAACCACTTACCATCAGGTGGGCCGTATGCTCGTTTGCCTACAAGGGCAATAAAAAAACATAAGGTGCTATGCGGTGTTGGTAGGGCCCACGCAGTGCTCCAATAAAAATAGACTTGTCACTACAAGATATTGCTTCACAGTGGAACTCTAAACAGCCTAATACGGTGCTATGCTGTAAGCTCCCACGTTAAGGGTACGTGCCGCGTACTACCGTATCAGCATGACGTTGCGGCTTCATAATCGGACTCATGAAAAGCTAATATTTTTCTCATCGAAATTTTAACGCTTTTATTTTAACATCAAATTTCGTGTCCTTAAAACAAGCGTGCGATATATTTTTTGTCTCTTTTAGGCAGACGTTCATACGACCCATCTGATTTATTACGTAGTTGCTTTTGCTAATCGACTTCATCAATGTCTAGGGCATGGCTAAGTTGCTACCTACTGACATAGAGCTCGAACGCTATGCGTTTTAGCTAGGCTTCAAACAACAAAGCTTCGCAACTTGCATACGTCACGTGTGTGCTAATTACGAGACCTTAAACTCTTCATTAAGACTTGCACGGCTTGATTTAATATCGAAACTTAGAAGGTAATGTAGACCTTGTGTTGTTGCAATTAAATTTCATGAAATTAAATAGTAGAATATTGAAAGGATATCAGAAAGAGATTTTCTTTTCTTTCTTTCTTCTTTCTTTTCAACATTCGGTTATCGACTTTCAGTTGTTTTTTTTATTCAGTTTTGACCAGAAAAATTGATACTTCAAAAATTAGAGTTATTTTGGAATACGAGTTTCGACGCGGAACGAACGCTGCAGAAACGGCTCACAATATCAATGTTGCCTTTGGAGAGGGGACTGCTAATGAACGCACCGTGCAATTTTGCTTTAAGCGCTTTCGCGATGGAAATTTTGATTTGAAGTACCAACCACGTGGTAGACCGTCTGCCTACGCATGTGAATGACAATGAATTTGAAGAGATGGTGGAAGCGGATCCGGGTCAAACTACCCAGGAGTTAGCGGCATGGTTTAACGTTACCTTACGAATAATATTGACTCATTTGCGCCAAATCAATAAAATAAAAAAAATATGAAAAATGAGTGCCTCATGATTTGACTGATCTGCAGAAAGAAACGCGTGTTGAAACTTGTGTTGCCTTGTTGAATCTATACAGAAATGAGGGAATATTGGATCGAATTGTGACATGTGATGAAAAGTGGATTCCTTACAATAACCATAAGCAAAAAATGCAATGGCTAACCCCAGGTCAAACGCCGCAACAGTGTCCTAAAGCAAAGCTTACCAATAAAAAGTAACTGTTTGGTGCTCTCAGCACAGTGTTTTTCGCTGTAGCTTCCTCCGACCTAGTCAAGCATTAACGGCAAATGTCTACTGTGCCGAACTCCGAACAATGACAGCAAAACTCGCAGTGACAGAGCCACGACTCATAAATCGATCTTCACCATTATTGCTCCATGATAACGCGAGACCTTATACATACAGCACGAGAAACCGTTTTAACTCTACAGGAACTGCAATTAAAAACCATTCTTCACCCTCCGTATTCACCAGACCTTGCTCCAACGGACTACCGTTTTTTTCGTGTTTTGGACAATTTTCTACGTGATAAAAAGTTATCTTCCCAGGAAGCAGTACAAAATGCTTTCACACAGTTTGTGGAATTTAGATCACCAGAGTTCTATTACAAAGGCATAAATGAACTACCTATTAGATGGTAGTAATGTATAAATTAATAATGGTAGATATTTTGGTTAAATGAAAAAAAAAAACGAATTTAAATTTTTAAGTACAAATCGACAATTTCATACTTTGACCCCTGATATCACACAAGGTGAATGACCATACTTAAAACACGACATTGTACAATGTTTGTATTGTCTACCCTTCAAACTGGAACGCATGACAGCTTCGAAGTAGACACAATCGCGGTATTAAGACAAACTCCTACGCCCATACAATATGCCATTAATAAATACCATTAATAAAATGTACTAAACATTTTAGTTACATTATTTAAAAGGTTTTGTACAATAGAAAAAGAACAACAATACATTGAAAAGCATTCTTACACTGACGCAGTTATGGTATATTATAAATTATATGAAGCGTATTTTAATAAGCATTCATAGTTAAAATTCATGTCTATAATTTGCTGCGTTCAATAATTTATTTTCAAGTATTTTATGTTTCAAATCTAAATTCCTTGACTTCTTCCTCTCGTTTTCCATTTGGAGTTCAAGTAATACTTTCCTACATAATATCTCGGACATCATTAATTCTTCTATGCATTTGTTTGTTTTGTTTGACGTTAGTGTTTCATCATTAGTTTGTTCCTGTAAGTAAAAAATATTATTGGAACAGAGACAGACAGCCGATCGGTAATAACAGTCTGTTTCTTTTAGTTCTAGTCATTCTTATTACCTATGGAGGGGTTTGAAAATATTCTGTAAATTTTCATGTATGCGATGTATATTTATTATATTATTATATTATATCGATACATACTATATGATTAAAATCTACTTATTCAAAATATTTTGTGATTTTTCTGTTATAGTTGTTGCAAAGTACGAGCGCGCGTGGCCTTTATTTGTAGTTGTAATCGTAAATACACATTTTCGTTAGTGTGTGTATCTGACGGAGCGGTCAGTAGTGAGTGAGCCATCGCTCGAGTCACTTGTACTTATTGTTTCCACGTTGCTCTTGTTCACGAAGTACGGTCAGCATGTAAAATCTTAAAAGTGAAAGAATACGCAAAGTAATTAATGTCAAGGTAAGACTTTTTTAATTTTAAACTTGTGCCCAGATATTGATGTAGTTACTAATTTGTAACGCATACATTTAAAGACTTAAAAAAACCATTCCCACACCGCAGGGAATGCAAAGGTACATTTTAGATTCGGTAAAGTTCGGTTCGTGGAACGCGTTTGGTATTTTAAATTTTTTGCTCGAAAACTAGAAGTCGTATCAAAAAAGTTTAAAAACAAATGTTTAAGAAAAATAGCTATCAATTAAAAAATATTTATTTATTGTTTCCAGGGACGTGTCATTATTACCCGCGTGTACGGCTTACTTCAAGAAGAGTATAGTTTTATGAAAGCGAACAATGTGGATAATGGTGATTTGAGTCCTTTGGCTAATTAATATACGGAAACGTACAACTAAATCTATAGGGATCAGTGAACGAACTGTAATTGCAATTTTTAAAAAAAGAAAAAGAGCTGCCATCTTCTTCTGTTAGTTTTACTTCACCTATGAAAAAAACTACGTAGGTAAGAGATAAATATTGAATTTGATTTAGACAAAATAATCAAAAAAATGTGCAAAATTTCAAAAAAAAGACCAAATGTGCAAAATTTCCATATTGTGGAAAAACAAATACCAACATTGGCAAATTTGCGATCAATTTGAAAGAAAAGATTGGTTTTCATGGATGCTTAAATACATTACGTTCGATAATAAATAAATTAGGCTACAAATGGAGATAAATTGGGAACAACAGAGAAGCATTACAAAAAAGACATGAATTTCAACTTTGACGTTCAATTTTTTTTAAAGATTTTTTTGGTTTAATTTTTAGTTATATTGTTTGTTGTTAGTTTTCATTTTGTGTAGAGTACTGTTTATGATTACATTTCGTTTGTGTTTATTTTTATTATCTACCTGTAAGTAACTATTATTACTAATGTAAATTAGTAGTTACTTTAACAATTTTGTTTATTTTTTATTAAGACCACTCCTAATAAAGCAATTAAAAATACTTAAAATATCAAAATGGGTGAAATCCATAACTTGAATTAATGATTTTTTGTTTGCAAACCGTACTTGCTCTTACGTCTACATTGACACGTATACAGATTGGTCACTCACACAAATAAGGGCGGCGCGCAGTCTTACTTTGCAACAACTATATGTGATGTACATTTATTATATGTACCAAAGCATACCACCTTTAATGGTCAACTTGAGTTAACCAAAAGGTTTTAACAATATTAGTCCAGTTAATAATTAGTAATTTAAAAGGCCGAAAGCTCTTATGCCAGCTTAGAAAATGAGAAAAAGAAAAACATCCTATTTAAAAACTACAGAACGATTAAAGATACGTACGATCTTCTTAGGCTCTTCTAAATGTTGAACTTCGATGACCTGCAGAAAATAATATCAATAAATCTACGAGTTTGCATAAATTATGATAAATTCTGATAAGCTATAGATATAATAGAGAGGCAATAGATAATAGAAAGAAGCTACAATCTAAAAACAACAAAGTTTTTTTTATTTCTGTATTGTTGTACTTGTGTAGAGATTTTTACTTCATTTGCCTAGAAATACCTTTGAATAATAAATATCTTGTTCTTTAAGTCGTATCTGGAGTCCTGTGCACTACCTCCCAGAAGCCTCTTCGCTTTAATATTGCGCCATCGTCGGCGTGTGGCAACATGGTATCAAGTCACTATCGGTCGCAGCCCAAAGAGACTGGTTAACTTTTTAGAGGTACTGGAGTGCATGCTTATAGATATTTTTTTCAAAAATCTCATTTTAGGTTGGTGCGCGAGTAGTGCGTCTATGTACCCTTCCATATTGACACGTAATGTAATACAATATATAACCAGCTGTTGCGCGATAACGATGAACTCGGAGACGCGCGCGATTTTTCAAATAGTTTAACTTTGCATTACCCTTTCACAATATACTTATTCTGGCCACAAATACTGTTACAATTAAAAATAAAAAAAAATCTATTGCAAATAACATTTATTACTTTTACAGTGTGTTAGTTTAATACATAAATATAAAACAATTTAAAGTATAACAAGCTTATTCGAAGTGGTCCCCATTGGCTGCAATACAGTCCTTTAAATGTTGAGGCCAGTTATCAATAGAAGCACGCACTCTTTCCATGAGAACATTTTTCACTGCCAATCGTACGGATTGTTTTAGGGACTCCAAATTATTATGGCGTTTAGAGCAAGCCGTACTCTCTAAAACTGACCATAAATCATAATCCAGCGGATTAAGATCGGGACTAGACGACGGCCAGTCTTCAACTCTGATGAAGTCCGAAACGTTCGTTTCCAACCAAGACTGCGTAGACCGAGCTTTATGACCTGGCGCCAAGACTTCCTGGAAGGACCATTCTTGATTATGTATATATTTTTCATGGTGTTGTTAAGGGGCTTCACTACCTTCTCAAGAATGGTATCTTGATACACTTGTGCCGATGTTTTGATACCTTTTTTACAATAGTATGGCTTAGTCACTCCTTCATAGCTAATACCCCACCAAATCATCACTGAAGTCGGATAGTGCCCACGTTGTACTCTGTCGACTAATTGGGAAGCTTTCTTAGAGCTTTGAGCATAAATACGGTCATTTTGTTTGTTAAAATATAGCTTAATTGTAAAAAATTTCTCATCCGTAAACAAAAATTTTCTATGACCTCCCTTTGCGTACCGCTTCAGTAGTTGTTTCGATTTCACCACCCTATTCTCTTTTAAATTAATTATCAGTTAAGAAATGAGCAGTACGTCTCTTATAGACTGCAAGTCCTAAGTCATCTTTTAAAATACGCGACATGGTTCTAGGTGCTATCTTCATCTCCCGAGATAAAATCTTTTGCTTTCGGACAGGATTTCTTCGAATTATTTCCCTTACTGCTTTGACCACCTTTTTATACGAACACTACGTAGACTACGTAGCTAGAACACTACGTAGCTAGATCTTTTTCTGTCACAAACAGAGGAGGTCTCATTGCACCTATTAATAGCCCGGTACACAAACATTTTACTAATACCAAGCTTATGGAGAGTTTTAAAAATTGCATTTGGCTCCATACCTACTTTGTGTAATGCAATCACAGCGATTTGGTTCTCTTTATCACCCCACTCCATTTTAATATCACAAAATATTGTACAATGAGAAAACCGCAAAAATGAGCAATCTTAGAAAAATGACAGATTCCAAATTCAAATGTAATATTTTGTTTATTTTTAATTGTAACAGTATTTATGGCCAGACTAAGTATTAACCTACTAAAAAGAAAACTATTTTGACGTTTGAACTCGTCATTTCAGACTGACTTTACAATTTTTCTTCTATGTCTACAATAAATACCAAATAAAATAGGAAGTGAAAAAGATTCATAAAAACCTCTATTCTTACACAAAGTTGATATAGGTACCACGACTATCCCATTCCGTCCGCTACATATAAACGACCACTTACACTAATAAGAACAACTAATTAAAGTACAGTGAGATCAACATTAATTAGCTCAAACTAATAAAAGTCTTCACTAGAGGCCCTAATTGTGCCTTCACAGTTGGATCCTCACAATCCCTCGTTTAGTTTCCAAAAGTTGCTTTAATGAGCTCACAGCTAGGCAATTATAATGAATGCTTCTGAGTAATTACAGTTTTGATTGCTGTAAATGCAATTTGTAAGCGAGCATTCTTGTTTCAGTCTCTAACCCGGTCACCGTCCTCGCCGAACCCGTCACTTGCGACGAAGGGCTTGATGAGTAAATTAGTCCATAGACACAGTCCACTGAGTTTTTTGCCAGGTCTTCTCAGTGGGTTGCGTTTCTGATCCGGCGGTAGATTCTGCGAAGCATTACTCTTGCTAGGGCCAGTGATAGCAACACTTCCGGTTTGAGCCCCGTGAGCTCACCTACACGTTAGGGTGAAGCTGAAATAGCCTCTGAAGGCTATCAGCATAGGTAGGGAAAAAAAAAGCTTGAAACTACTCACGGTAGCCAGGTCGGGAAAAACTTTGGTATCGCGAGGCGGCTTGTCATTCTGTGAAATTTATAAAGTGCTATTTTTCAAGACCTTGCACCAAAAAAGTGGTCGGTTAAAATGGTTAGTGCAAATGAAAAATCATAGTAATTATGTATCGTATACAGAAATTTCATAAAAACTTTTTAGGCTAGCGAAAAGCAACATCTCGATCAATATATTATTATAGCGTCTGCTTTATTTTTGTTACCTATACATCAACAAAGTTCTCCACTAAAATTATAACCATGTATCAGACAGACTACAAAAATAATAAAGAAAAAACCTGGGGCATTATATATGTATATGTATGACAAAATTTATAATACCATTTTCAGAAATTTTCTACCAAATACGAGGGTTTTTAATTAGAAGATGAAAAAATGTACCGGAATGCTATTTGAGTCACAGTCCGAGCTATCAATATATCTATTTGATACGCATAAAGTGACGTCATCTTGAGGGGTATCGTTCTCTGGATTATTAGGGATCTTTTTTGATGAAGTATCCATATCACTAGTTTTGTGTTTTCTATTATACATTTTTAAGAAAGCCCATTGCGCTTTCAGTTGTGCTACCGTTCTAGGCTTGCCTTTACAGGCGGAATTAAATCTGAAATAAAATGAAATAAATTCTCATTGTGATTGTTTTTGGAAAACGCTGTCTAGTTTCACTTTATTTTAAATAATTACGTAGACAAACGATTTCTGTAGCGATGAAATAACATCGTGTAATAAATACAATTTTAACAATTTTGTTTTTTTTTCGGTTGTCGTTGTGTCCGTTTTCAGTTTTTAAAAGCTTTTTTTTTTAATTTTATATTTTTGCCCATATATATATTTTAGTTGGGTTTTTATTACACGATGTTATTTATTTATCGTATGAGTCGTTTTTGAACACATTTGCAGTATAATATTATTTTATCTTAAAAAAATCGATATCTGCATACGGAACTTGAACACCGGGATAATCGCAATGTTTGATGCTAGTGCAGGGCTAGTGTTAAGCAATGGGATTATTCCTGTGTCCTTAGTCTTTAGCCACTACGACCTACGTCATTCTGATTGGAAAGTTTCATTAGCTGTGACTATACTAGCTACCATTAGCTGATACTATACTAGTGTGATTGGAAAGTTTTATTAACTGATACTATATACTATAAATACTAGTTCGTATTCATATCCAAAGGTCGTCAATGATATTTATGCATAGAAAATCATACGGATAAATCACATGCGATCCTCTGGCAGAAAATTAGGATTTTCAGCACTTCGGAAACAAAAAACTGATATAAATACTATAATAGTTACATGTTAAAGCTTATGTATGTATGTATAAAACACCCAAGCAAATGGTTTATAAAAGTATTTAAAAATATATTTAACTTACCTAAATTGTAGATCTTCCCATGATTTCTGTTTGTTTCTATTTGATATGTTATCAGTATTTTTGTTTTCGATGTACCGTAGATTTCCTCTGACTAGTTCTTTTAATAAACACTGTAGGGAAGAATAGCATGTTGTATTTTTAGTTAAAATCTCATGTTTAGTGGCAAAACTTTGGTTTGTTCAGTCTTTTCATTTGCATTACGTGATTGAGACGTTCCATTTGTCCCACTGATCTCTTTTTATTTATTTATTGCTTAGATGGAAGGACGAGCTCACAGCCCACGTGGTGTTAAGTGGTTACTGGAGCCCATAGACATCTACAACGTAAATGCGCCACCCACCTTGAGATATAAGTTGTAAGGTCTCAGTATAGTTACAACGGCTGCCCCACCCTTCAAACCGAAACGCATTATTGCTTCACGGCAGAAATAGGCATGGCGGTGGTACCTACCCGCGCGGACTCATAACAGATCCTACCACCAGTAAAATCGCTAAAGATCGTCGTATTAATGTGCATTATACTTTACTGGTGATAGGCGTCCTACCGTCAGTCCGTACGAGTAGGTACCACCACCCTGCCTATTTCTGCTGGGAAGCAGTAATGCGTTTCGGTTTGAAGGGAGGGGCACCCTTTATACTGTATTGAGACGTTAGAACTCATATCACAAGGTGGGTGGCGGCATCTACGTTGTAGATATCTATGGGCTCCAGCAACCACTTAACATCAGGCGGACCGTGAGCTTGTTCACCCATTTAAGCAATAAAAAATAATCGTAAAACATTATTTTTGTATTACGATTAATTGTTAATGTATATTATGACCGTAAGGTCTATAAATAGTTCCGAAACAAAATGGGAATAATTTCTTACATAAAGTAAGCCAACATTCATTTATCTTTTTTACTGTTTTAGAAGAAGATTTCTAAGTAAATGAGGGCGTGTGCTTAAGACATAGTCTAAGCTTGAAATGTTCCGAGTAAAAAGATTAGAATACAGAAAAAAGTAAGAACATAATAAAAAATAAATTAAATTATATAAATTGGATATTTCATGCAGCCGTTATACAATATAATTGAGACTTCCACTTCTTATCTCAAGGTAGGTGTATTCATGTTAAGAATTCGATGTATTCGATGATCTCTGGACGCCAAATGGGCTGGAGTTCATTAACCTAACTACGGAATTTAAAAAGACCTAAAGAGTTCATTCGCGACAACGGCAATCATATTATTATGGCTATGATCCTGGCATTTCTAGTACTCATGAGTGACTATAGCCATTTACCATCAGGTAGGCCGTTAGCCGATATTTTTCAACAGCGGCCATAAGAAATGTGAGAGCTGTATACAGCTCGTGTTAAGTAATTAAATATTAAATATCGATACGCGCATTAATTCCTGCCCACTGAGTTTCTCGCCGGATCTTCTCAGTGAGTCGCGTTTCCGATCCTGAGGTAGATTCTGCGAAGCATTGCTCTTGCTAGGGCCAGTGTTAGCAACACTCCGGTTTGAGCCCCGTGAGCTCACCTACATATTAGACTGAAGCTGAAATAGCCTCTCAAGGCTATCAGCATAGGGAGGGGAAAAAAGTCACGATAGTGGCCAACTAGATGTGCATGCATTTTAAGTGTAGCCTTTAGAGGTTTTAAGAGGCGCAGGACCGAAAACCACCAACACGTGTTAGCTTAGTAACAAAAAGTAACATAAAAGGTAACAATAAATAAAATTAACTTTATCCTCTGCAATCCAATTCTCGCTTCGTTGTCTCTTCTTATTATTTAAATTAAACTCCATTATTATAGATCGTATTAATAAGTCGTGTTTGACAATTTTGACGTAAGGTTTGTTCATTATTTTTTGTAAAAATATGTTGTCAAACCCGCTAATAACAGCTTTTTAGCTTTTGAATTCACTAATTATTTTGGTTAAAAGAGTTTGTCATGATTTTTTAATTATTTCAGACACAATAAAAATTACGTATTTAATAAGCTTAAAATATATAAATCATAATGTAATTATGTAATTTACGAACCAGTTGATGGATTTATTCGTGTTTAAGCATAGTAAGGTACAAAAAATTACAGTGAGACAGGTTTAACTAAAAATACAGACAAGAGAAAAAAAAAAACAAAAAAACTTTTTTGTTGGTTTTCTTCGACCACATATCTCAAAGTGAGTAAGTAGTTATGTGTGTGGGCCGTCCCAGGACGACATTGAGCACGTTCATTCTATCTAAAAATAAGAGAAAAAAAAAGTAACCCACGCGATACCAACAGAAGTTTGATTCACTTTTAACTTTTTTATTGCCCATGTAGGCAGATGAGTATACGGCCCACCTGATGGTGAGTGGTTAGCGAGCGTGTGGGAAAATATTGAAACTTGTGGAGCGCCAGCGTTAATGATGACGGTATCGGAGTAACAACCGTCTGCAACGACAGTGATGCTCCACCCATTCAAAAAGCAAGCGATTCACCTGTAGTCTCTCGGGGATTCCGTAAGATGGGAACTTCGACAGAAATGCCCTATGCCAGACCCAGGCCTTCGCGATATCCAGGTTTACAGTGATAGCCCCGTACTTGCTCTCTAAGGCTTCAGCACACCTGTTAGTAAGGTGTACAAGAAGATCGCCAGCTGAGCGATCATCACGGAAAGCGTACTGTCGGTCATTGATCAACTAGCGATCCTTAAGATACTTCAGGAGTTGCGTATTAATATTCGTCCATCACCTTGGAAAACAAGGAAGTTGTCGCGATAGGCCAATAGCTTGATGGGTCTTACCGCCACAGCAGGGACGTAATCTGGCCCACTTGACTTATGTACGTCCAGGAGTCGGAGCTCCCGCCTAACTACATAATGTGTGAACCAGATCTCCGGCAAAAAGCTCAGCCTTCTCTTTCGCAGTGTGGACCAGACTGTCATCGGAATTGCGTTCAGACGGCACAGCACAAGACGAGCGCGGCTCCCGAAGGAATAGCTCTTTAGTCGCTCGCCAATTCTTGGAACATGCGCTGACTTCGCCTTGGCAAAAAGCTTTCTTGTAGGATCTAGAAGCGCTGTTATATTTCCACCTTTCCTCTGAGACGTTAGAATCCCGACGTTTCCTGTCATCATCATATGCCGCGTAAGCGGACTGCTTGAGGCGTGCAGTATCCCTACTGGCATTGTTATATCAGGGTCTTCTGCGACCCCCAATGGGCACTTCAGAAGGAGGAATGAACAAATCCATCCACGTTTATAAGTCAGTCCCCACAGACGTCAGGATCACCAGAGAAAAAGCAAAGCCGCCCCCTAGGATGCGTAAAATTCACGCAATATTATAACAATAATATATATATATATATATATAATGTATATATGATCTGAATATAAAACTTTATTAATATCTTAACATTAAACTGAGTCTGAGTGTCTCTTTATGATGCTGATATTATTATAAAAGTAAAAAAATTTGAATAAGAAGATTTTAATTTTAAATTTCAATGTATCTTACTTTCAGCATATTTTTCATGTAATGTCTTAGCGAAATGGAAAAGCTTTTGAAAAAAGGACACGATAATTCAATCTCGCCTTGAAGTAGCTTACGGTAAATAAATGTAGTTAATTATACTGTGTAAATTTAAAGAAAAACAGTTTCTAAATTTTGTACAGAGTAACTCATAGCAAAAATCATTATAGTGTGTACATTCTTGGAATGGCTATAAGCAAGCTAAGTATCTAATGTTTTATTTGGAAATGTAAAGCATTTTTGGGTGAAAATTATTTGTTAAAATAATGATTTTAAGACTGATTTGTTCATAACAATAATTCTACAATGACTTCTATAATTTTTTTTATAGACATTAATAAAAACAGAACAACGACAATTTATTTATAAACACAAATCCCTTTGAAAGTACGTATTCTCATCAGCGAGTCAAAGATAATTAAGTTGTAATACGCAGGTACCGGCGCACTGGGGAGAGAGATGTCACCACAGTCGAGACTTGATTTTTTTTTAAACCAGCCAAGCGAAAGATGCTGAGTGGAAGTAACTAAATTGTTTTATTATTTGATTTTCTTATGCAGCTCACTGCAGGCTGTCACGTGTATTCGAGTACGAAGGCAGTCAGCGTTTTATTACTACGAGTCAGGACTGTTTATTCGATTGAAAATTGGATTTCAGATTATTCAAGGCAAGATTTTTATTAGTTTAAAGCTGACCTACTAAGCTCGCCTGATTTTCAACGTGACTATCGTAAAATACGTAATCAAACTGTTTACACAACTAGCTTGCTTAGTAATGATGTTAGAAAAATGATATAATATTATGTATATCGGTATTTTTTGTATTTTCTTATGTAATCATCATATGATTTAATTATTGTTTTTTAGAAGAATGTATTTAATTAAAGTATTTGTGTACTTATTTGCTGTGATTTAAAACTTTGGGGGTTAACGACAAAAATATCTTTCACCGAGCAGCTGCAATTGTTGTTGTTGTAGACCGACGGTCCGAATGATATTATTCGGATTATTCGGAACTTTTATTTGAAAGTTTACCTTGAAATTTTCGTTGGCGAGATTCAGGCTTCTATCAAATATCTTGTGACGTATGATAGCTCCTGCCACAAAACCTTTAAAATATGAATAGCTATTAGTTGAACTATGCATGTTCGAATTTATTTATTCAATACCCTTTTGCCCATTTATGAACATCTGAATTATCTAAAATTTTGCAGACATGTAAAGTTTTTTTTTTTATTGCTTAGATGGGTGACGAGATCACAGCCCACCTGGTGTTAAGTGGTTACTTGAGCCCATAGACATCAACAACGTAAATGCGCCACCCACCTTGAGATATAAGTTCTAAGGTCTCAATATAGTTACAACAGCTGCCTCACCATTCAAATCGAAACGCATTACTGCTTCACGGCAGAAACACGCAGGGTGGTGGTACCTACCCGTGCGGACTCACAAGAGGTCCTACCACCAGTGAAATGTTATCATTAGGGGAATGTAGCACATCATTAAGATGGCGGCAGTCTTTTGTGTTAGTTTTCTACCAGTTTGGATAGGCAGAGTCTATAGCTGGAAAGTCGTATTTGATGTACACGCAAAGGATACGTAGGTAGGTACGTTAGATAGATTGATACATTTGTCTGTCTGAATAAGCCACCCCACTTTCGTTCGTTCTACTACAAGTCACCTTATTTATTCCGTATGCTGCGCTACGTAGTGCTGAGTTGGCGACACAGAGGTGCGATTGAGTTAATACAGACACACCCCTTTTGGGACCGAGGACGTCTCACCGTCCAGGCGACGCAGGTGCTCACAGGACACGGCTGCTCGGATGCTACCTACACCTCGTCGCCCGAAGGGAGCCGAAACCGAAGTGCCACCATCATAGTGACTCTAACGAGGACACGCTCGTGTACTGCTACCCTGCTTTCACGGAGCAGTGTCGCATCCGCGTCACGAAAACAGGACCGACTGCTGACGGTCGTAGCTACGATGCTGGGCAGCGACGAGTCCTGGCAGGCAATGCTCGACTTCTGCGAGTCCACCATCTGGAAGGAAGCGATGGAAAGAGAGAGGGAGATCTCTTCCCTCTCCACACTGATCCGTCGTCGTCGAGCTGGGGGCTGAAGAAGTTATTTCGCCCTGTTCCAACGCTTATAAGCAGTCTCTTCCCAATGATGGTCACGGGGTGGCCTGAGAGAGTTGAGATTGCGTCACGCGCTATTGTCACTCTAGCGTACTGGCACCAAGAAGAAGGGTCTGACGGTGGCGTTCAAGGCCTGAGGCCAAGGCCGTCGTCGTCCTCACACGTAATCTCGAAGAGCAGCCTGGTCGGCAGCTGTATTGCGTTCCAACCCGACAGGCTGGATCTGACGCAGCCGGGTATTATAGAAATACCTGCGGTACCGTCTAAGCGGCTTGACAAGCTCGCGTACCGCGTAGAATGCTGTCGTTGGTTGTCAACGATCCGTCGATCAGACATTCTTGGGTCCTCGGTGTGCTCCCAAGATCTGAACACCGTCCAGTCCCTCATTCATAACCCGTGCGCGCCTTAGACGCGGACACCTCACGTCATGAGGTTCTAACCGAAAAAAAAAGACCGCGGCATTGCCACTCACCATCGGGTAGGCCGCATGCTCATCTGCCATAGCAATAAAAAATATGGAATAAAACAAGAAATAAAAACTACCTAATTAAAAAAAATACTGTAGAAAATGGTTGGACTTTACCTGAATTCTGTTTGCAAAAAATCGTAAATGAAAACAATAAATAATTCTATAGAAAATTTTAATATACTCGTAGCACAATATTCAAATGTTGCGAATAAAACCCTATAGACGTCCACGATTACGGAACTTACTGAAATATCACAAATAAATCACAATAATCAATGCGAGATTATAGCAATAGAGGAGCAATAAAATTATCTTAACCGCTCGCGGAAACTGAAAAATTTATAATAATTAATTCTACAAATAAATCTTCAATCCTAAAAACTTTTTTATGTGTATAAAGAATAATAACCAAAGGAGTACGTACCATATGTTCGTTTAAAAGAAAGATTACATCGCACATATAGAGAGAGGAGATTTATCCAAACAAATTCATACCAGTTATTTAATCCGTAAATCTTCTATTTGTTTGGCATGTGAAATGCTATACAATAGACTACAAACAATAGCAGCCGGCGTAGGTTGTGACAGACTTCAAAAGTAAAAGGTTCGGATTCAATGTTGTGGGCACCTAATGCGTGTCGATTTCATCTATGATGGCCGCTATGTTTATCTCGTTCCATCTTTTATAGACATCTAAATAATCATGTCTTTAAACCTAAAAAGAACAATACAAAAATA